GTTATAGACTTAGAGTGTGTGTATTTTGTATTTTGCAAATCATATTATTTGATGATATTTCTATTTTTTTTAGATTCATCTCCAGGAAGAATCATGCCTGAGGATTTCCTCTTTATTAGCTGATGGTATAGTTGTCAATCCTGGTGACATTTTACCAGATTTCTCAGTGAAATCTTTTATTTTCAATATTAAGGGACTGGATGTTACAGTTCCTTTTGACAAGGCCAAATTGGATATTTCTAGTAGTGACGTGGACAATTCAGTCAAGACAATGTTTACTGGAGCAAGGCTTCATATTGAAAATCTTTTCTTTTTAAATTCACCCTCACTGAAACTAAGAATGCTGAACCTGGAGAAGGATCCTGCTTGCTTCTGTCTTTGGGAAGGTCAACCAGTTGATGCTAGCCAGATGAAGTGGACTGCCAGAGCATCCCAGCTTACTTTGTCTCTGGAAGCATGTTCTGACACAACTGGACATCAAAATTCCCTTGGACAGACATCAGGATTATGGAGATGTGTTGATCTGAAAGATGCTTGCATTGAAGTAGCTATGGCAACTGCTGATGGCAGTCCATTGTTAAAAGTTCCTCCTCCTGGGGGCATTGTTAGGGTTGGAGTTGCTTGCGAACAGTATATATCCAACACTTCTGTTGAACAGTTATTTTTTGTCCTGGATCTGTATGGTTATTTTGGGACAGTTAGTGAAAAAATAGCAATGGCTGGAAAAAGGAAACAATTGGAGGACATTAGGGACAAATCTTTTAGTGGAAAGCTAATGGACAACGTTCCTAGTGACACTGCTGTGATTTTAGCAGTGAAAAACCTCCAACTTCGATTTCTGGAATCATCTTTTATGAATGTTGAAGGGATGCCTTTAGTGCAATTTGTTGGAAATGATCTGTTCACTAGTGCCACTCATAGAACTCTTGGTGGGGCTATTGTTGTTTCATCTATTTTACGTTGGGAGAGTGTTGAGATAGGTTGTGTGGATGCTGAGGGGCACTTGGCATGTGAAAGTGGCTCATTCTTGAGTTCTAGTGAAAATGCTCCCTCATTGAGTGATAATGGATATCCTCACCTAAGAGCTGTTTTCTGGGTGCATAAGAACGAGAAGCATCTATTGAATGGAAATGCTCATTCAGTCCCTTTTCTCGACATAAGCATGGTGCATGTCATACCATTATGTGAACAAGACTTGGAGTCTCATAGTTTGAATGTCTCAGCTACTGTATCAGGTGTTCGTCTTGGTGGAGGAATGAACTATACTGAAGCTCTCCTGCATAGATTTGGGATACTTGGGCCTGATGGAGCTCCTGGGACAGGTCTTTGTAAAGGGTTGGAAAACCTACAAAAAGGACCATTGTCAAAACTTTTTAAGACAACTTCTCTAATTAATGATTCAGAAGATGGTATGAAACAAACTTTCATCTAATTTTCTGTTGGCTAATTTTCCTAATGCATAATAAATTTTTTCTCTGTTCATGATGGACATGTTTGTATGTAATTTACTTGCTATTTCTTCACCAGCTGGAAGTACGAGAGAAGGGAAAGAAACTGGTTTTCCACACTTGAAAAAGCCTGATGATGTGGATGTAACTATAGAATTGAGAGACTGGTTATTTTCTCTTGAAGATGCACAAGGGACAGCTGAAAGATGGTGGTTCTCCAACCATGAAGATGAAGGCAGAGAAGAGAGGAGTTGGCATGCATCTTTTCATGGTTTGCGAGTTAATGCAAAAAGTAGCCCAAAGAATGTTCCAGATGGAAAAGCACAATTGCAAAGAATACAACAACATCCAGTAGAACTGATTACGGTAAAGAGACGCTTCTTTCTGATTTTTAAAGGGTTTAATGTTTGTTTTCTGCTCCAAAATACTGCAGAATCAAAGATTTTATCCGAGCTTTCAGGAATGATATTATTTTTGTTGGTTGACACTATAGAGAAGAGAAAGCAAGACTAACACTTGCTAGCTTTGCATTCTGTCAGGCAACATGGTAGGAATTGTAAAATATGAAATGCCACATCTAACATCCATATGATTTGTCCACTGGGTATTTGAAAACCTGACTATTTTTTTTTTCTGGTGAGCGGGTGATTTTGATGGATCATTGGACCTGTTGTACATTTTTCTGTTGACTAGTAACTTTTGGCATGTTAAAACAGAAACAAACATCTGTTTGATGACATATGTAGACTCTTGGTTTTACTAAAATATGTGTAGAACAAAATTCTTAATTTTCATGTCTCATGACCATATTATAGAATATAATTTTTTGTTTTTAAAAATCTTTTCTAATTCATTGTCTGTAAAGTCAGAAGAAAATGTTTTGTTACTGGGATTAAATGGACAAGCATGAGACTAAGAGGCTTTCTTATCATATTTGTTATGATGATAATGAACAAAGACTATGCTCATAATGATCATAACACATTTAGTATATATTTACCATAGAAATGTTTAATACCATGTATTTTGGGTTATTTCTGATTTATATTCTTTTGGTTTAAATATGGTAAAACTAAGCTTCCTTATAAGTTGGTTTTGTTTGTGTATCTTCTCATTTCTGTTTCTTGTCTTTTAAGACACGTCCTACTCCTATTATAGCCCTTACATACCGAGCCTGCACTTGCAGATTGGAGTTCAGGGACTGCAAATCTTGAAGCCTCATACTCAAAAAGACATCCCTTCATCAATGCTAATTGCAAATGGGGTTAAAAAGTGCACTGACACAGTTGGTGGAATTGGTCTTGAAGTTCGCTTGATATTAGGTGGGGAAAATGCTGATGATGAAATGGCTAATTGGGAAGTGGAAAAACTAAAATTCTCTGTTAAGCAACCGGTAATGAGAATTTCATATTTGAGCATGCGTAATTCACTCTATTTTATATGAAGGTTGTGAGTCTGGATCGTTTCATTATGCAGATTGAAGCAGTTGTAACCAAGGATGAGCTTCAGCATCTCACTTTTCTGTGCAAATCTGAAATTGATTCAATTGGCCGGATAACTGCTGGAATTATACGGTTGCTTAAGTTAGAAGGTTCTGTTGGTCAGTCTGTAATAGATCAACTCAGCCACCTAGGTATGTTGTCAAAGTTTCTTATACATGGAATTAGTTTTCATTAGACAAAAAATCTCATTGGTGGAACCTTCAGCCTTTGCTAAGTTAGGAAGTGATGTTATTTTATCTTTAGAAAACAGCATTTTCATGTAGGACTGAAGATGGATTTTAGATTTTTGCGGTCTGGTATTCTTAACTAGCGGTGCCATGACCAAAGAGAGGCAGTGAAGAGGACTAGTAGCCGCAATAATTGCGCTAAACCTAAAAGAATTAATATTAATAGAGCTATTCCAAAAGTGTTGAAGACTACATTGATTGTACCACTTGAACAAATTTATGAAGATGGTGAATTTAGACTATAATTTTCAATTTGTAGATATAAAAGCTCGATATTAATGAAACAAGCAGAACTAATTGCTTGCAGTTTCTCATGAATTCGAGACTCAAAAGTGATTTACTGTTTGAGCACATCATAAGGCTTGCCTAGACTACTATTGTTCCAAGGATTTTGCTTGCTGATGCACTTGGTTATACGTGCTTTTATAATCTTCTAATAATGTATGTTATGACAACTTGCAGGAAGCGAAGGCATTGACAAGATTTTCTCTTCTGAAAAGGTTAGTAGAGAGGGAAGTGTTGGTAGTAGGGGGCTATCCCCATCACCAAACCTCATAAACGAGGAAACACACAGAACTACGGAACAAACATTAACTTTGCTTGAGGAAGCGCTTGTGGATTCACAGGCTAAGCTTGATGATTTGATCAGTGATATTGGTACTTCCGAGTCTTCCTCCTTTCAACACCATACCATCGTCAAACTGAGTCAAAAGATAGAGAGTATGCAGGGCTTATTGATGCAATTACGGAATCAACTTTAAAGTCCTCTGCCATTTTTTGCTGTATAATTATAATAAAAAGATTTTAATGTATACATAGTTTACAAATTTTGTGTACATAGGATACGAGTCGTTGAGTGTTGTACAATCTAGGTAGCTGCCATGGCTCCTCACCGATGTAAACAGAAAATTTTGTTCCCTTGCGCAAAAGTTGCAATCAGAAGTTCAGAGGTCTCATAATCTTTGACAGTTTAACATGATGGACCAGGAAAGAAAAAAGATTCCCACGATTAACTACTTTCCTTCGGAGAATCGTTTAAGCATTGAACTACGACAAAGAAAAATAAAATGACATACCACTTACTATGTGTATCTGCTGGATGGAACAATTTAATCTCATGTAATCAATCAATTTTTTACATCATACTATAAACCCAACGGGTTAAAGTTTCGACTCGCTTTGTAATCAATTTAACTGAAATAAATTTTCAAATATTTTAAATTAAAAATTGCCTTGCATAATAAAAGAATCAATAATAACAATCATATTTGAATTTGATGTTACACCTTTATTTATTTCAAAGAAATACTTTTGATTTAACAAAATAATAAATTTAAAATAAGAACAATCAAATTGCAAGTTATATAAAAAAAATAGTTTAACAACTTTATATTAAAAAAAATTAGTTCTAAAATCAGTCACTAAATTAAAAAAATATATATGTAAAATCATAAATTAATCTAAAATTATGATATAGGTCAAAATTAATGTATATATTTTAAAAATATATAAGAATAAAGATATTTAATTATTTAATTTTGACAAAATTTGACTTAAATAATCATGATAATATATGATTATAATTCAACAATTAGATTTACAAAACTCAAATTTTATATTAAGTTATCGACAATTTTATTTGATCCATCCTCAATTTAAAATAAAGAAAAAATTCACCTGATTGATGCTGATTCTCTAATAAAGTAAACATTCAGCTTTCTGAATTTGTTTAAACAAGTAACTTGACCCACTTTTTTGGGTCTAACCAGCTCGTCTAATATCATTACATGTAAAACATATTTTGCCTTTTTTTTTTTTTTTTCCTTTAACAACTTTAAACTAAAAGTTCTCAGCTAAATATTTTCATGCAAGACTTTCTAAAACAAAATAAATACACGGAAATAAACCAGGTCCTTGTGTTCACAACTAAAAACTGAATAAACCATAAATGATCTCATATTGGAGGGCATATCATGCACATCAGATTGGTGTAGCATGGAGATAAGTTATGCTGAGGAGTTTGTAACATCATCCCAGCGCCATATTGTTCCATCTTCACAGCAACTCAATATAGTACTACAACATAACAGGAAAAGGGACTATAGTTGAACCAAAAAATAAAATACATCAAAATTATGAGCAAAACATCAACATAAGAAGAATTACCTTCCATCAAAGGATGTAGCAGTCTGCCTGATTGGAGATTTTGATTGAGCATGTGACAACCTGAACAAGGTGACTCACCATAAGAATTTGATAAAATAAAAATTTATTGAAAAAAACTTAATCGAACCTTGAAATAAGTATAGGGGGGCTTGACTGCAACTCCCAAACAAAAATTTTCCCTTCCCTGTTACCTGGCAGATACAGTAAGAAAGAAAAAGAAAGAAAAACAATATAAAAAAGAAACGGTATAATCTTAAAATTACAAACTTGCCAGCAAAAGAACTAGTATAAATTGTCAGAAAAGATGTAATGAACAAAATGTGTGATACATAATTCCAGTCAAGTTGCACATTAGTAAAGAAAATAATAAATATACAAAAAAATTGCAATTAGTTATTCTTACCTATTGCAGCTGTATTGAAATGGAAATCACAAGAAAACTTGATGAACCAGATATCACACTCAGGAACAGGGTATTTCTGCAGGACGTCAACTACACCCTAAACATCCAAAAACAAAAAAGACTGAAGCTATTAAAACTTACACATTGAAAAATTGAAAAACAGATAATAATTATAACTAACCTCCCCTGGAGTTTGTTCCTTCACTTTAGGTTCCCACAAGACAATTTCATTGTCAACACTCTGGAAATGCAACATAATTCATTACTTATGGACTTGGTAAATAACTTTATGAATCAGAGAAAGCTCAAAAACACTACTTATGACTAAACATCAAAAGTATAATGTAAAAGAAACTTTGTTAAAAGAAATATAATTAACCTTTTTGTTGAAGCTTTTCTTTTCATTGTTTGTATTTGGTATCAGGAAGATTATGATATTAACATAAGTTGTGGAAGTCACATTAATTTCATTAGGGAGCAGTTTTTTCCCAACCGCAAACTAAACTTTTAATTTTCACCAGGTAGTAGTAGACTGAGCAATCACTCACCTTTGAGAGGATAAAATCACCCAGCCACCTATTACAGTCAACATAATTTGCATGTACTGAAGCATTGAACACCTGAAATTAGGTATCGTTAGAATTTAGAAAAGATAAATGATATGAACCAAAAATAAATTGTTACTTACAGGAAACTGGACATATTTTGTGGGAAACTTAGAAGGAAGATCTGTCCATGTGAATGATTTTTCTACATATGTCCAGAACTCTGCAGTAACATAAAAGAAATGGTGGATTAAAATGAAAAGCAAAGGAATATAATTGGTAGAGTAAATAAAATTTTATATTGGTAAATAAATGGAAAGGAATATATATATTGGTAATTGAATGAGGCAAAAGCCCAGAAAATACACTGTATATTTTCGTATGTGCACAAGAACAAGACACTACCACATGGTAGGAACCAAGTCAGCCAACTTCAAAATCAGCAGCTCCACTACCCATTTTAAATGATTTAGTGCATAAAAATGGGGCATCATGTTCCCCACATGAATTTTCCAATAAATTAGAAAAAATAATTGTTACTTGCAGCTTCCAATTTATCATAAAACAATTATAGAAGATGATTATAGAAGATACAAAAAACAGGGTATCAAAATCCAGTAAGAAGATTTGATTGTATGGAGGACAGGATAGACGGATAGCAGGAGTGCAGCATACATAAAACTAAATATCTTACCCTTCATAGACCATATCTTTACAGAATTATCCATGCCACAACTAGCAATACGATATATATCCGATGGATGAAAATCCTACAGTAAGCAACCAAAAATCAGTTGGACTAATCTCCAAAATCCAAATCTTATATTATCACTAAGAATAGGTAATTAAGCAAGAAAATGGGAGAGATACATTAGGTGAAGACTGAAGAATACACTTACAACACTCAAGACTTCATTACGATGGCCTCCAGCTCCAGCAAATATCAAAATGCATATTCCAGTATGAACATTCCATAATCGGACAGATTCATCCTGGTCAACCATAGATGTCATTAAACGAAAAACAAATCATTCTTTCACTAGTGAAAATACGAAGGGAGAAGCCATTTACTTTGCTAGCAGATATCACAAGTGATGGCTTTAATGTCTGAGTCCTGATTTCATTTATGGAGTCCCCATGGCCAAGAAAACTCTGCATAGAGAAGGGTATCATGTCAGGTAGCAGCAGGGATTATACAACCAATACATTTTCAATATCTTTGAAAAGAAAATTATTTAGCTTGCAATACTTTCCACAAAACTCTATTAACAACCAAAATTAAATGCGCATTTGAATAAACAACTTAATTAAGTACTGATTCAATAAAGAGCTTGTCACATGAAAGCTTATTCATAAGTTTGTGAAGTACTTATATCATTAGATAAACCCAAATAAGCTCTTCTAAATGATTCATAAATATAAAAATATACAGTCATCCGGTTCCTATGCTTCAAGTAAACAATGTAAACAATCATTAGTACATTACTGCAACCAAAATACCTTGTGTATCTTCTCACTGCCAGCATCAATCACTCGGATTATACCATTGATTCCTCCAGCCACAACAAATGGGGTCCCATCAACATTACATGCCCAACTCACAGTGTAAAAAGATTCATCTCTCTGCACATTTAAAAAATGAAAATTGAAGCAGTTTTCTATACACATGTATAAAATTAAATAGAAAAAAAAAACTATAGAGAGAAGAGAATAGAATGTTAGTGTTGACTTACATCTTCATCCACATATGATTGCAAAACAGCAATAACACCTCCTTGAAGACATTGATAAACAGTAACCTAAGGAATTAAGAAGAAAAGCCATCAAAGATTGAAAATTTGGGAATGAAAATACAAAGGGGTAGTGGAAACGAAAAGTTGGTACCCTATTGCCACCCACAGTGGCGAAAACGTTGAGGTAGCGAGAGTCGATGAAGTTGAAAACGACGGCGTATAGAGGACGCTTTCCCTCTTGGAGACGATTGGTGACTCTGTATTCTCTCCTCTTCGAAGGAGCCAAGGACCCCACGACAGGTTCGCATCCCAAACCATACACCTTCGCCATTCCAGCCTTTGTTCTTCTGCTTCTGTAACCTACTCTGTCTCACACTCGTCATCACGGGTCGGGTTAGTTCGAATTCAACGGTAAATATTACCCGACCAAACGAAAATAAAGCGAATTGAAAAGGGTCGGGTTTTGTTATTTTTAAGTTTCAAAATAATCGGATCTAAAATTAAAAAAAAATTGAGAAAAAAACCTCAATTATACAGAAAGCACAAGTTATGAAAGAGGAAAAGTTTCTCTGCCGTGAAATTATCATTCAAGAGGATTAACTTAAAATCCATAATTTTTTATTTAAAAATAATAAATAAATTATGAAGGGTTATGATTGAAACAAGATTTAGTATAGTAAAAAAATTTACGGATAATTCAAATCCTATGAAAGTAGGTTTTATGGGCATCAACATTGAAAAGTTAAAAAAAAAATGTTTTTTGAAAAGAAATAAAAAGAGGAGAGAAAAAAAAGACAAGATTAGTGTATAAGAGAGAAAGCGAAAATTAGTACCTTTGCATTGTATTTGAATTAGATGAGGTTGACGACGGCGATTGAAGTTGTCGGCAATTTTTGATGAAAGAAAGGGAGTTTTAGGGTTACACTTTCATAGAAGCAAGAGAGAATAAAGCTTTAAAATTCTAATTGTTTAAAAATGTGTATTTATAACATTTTATAAATTTAAATGAAATGAATTAATGTGAGTTATTAACACAAATAAATAAATTGAGTAAATATATACTACCGACACAAATAAATGAATTAAATCATTACATATCACCGACACGAGTAAATAAATTTAGTTAATACACGTCATTATCATGATACGAGTAAATAAATTAAATCAATACACATCATTGTTATTTAATTAAAGAGGTGAATTGATGCAAGTCACTTACCAATATAAATAAATGAGTTAAATTGATACGAGTTATTGATATAAACAAATCACTAATATAAGTAAATGAGCTAAATCAATGAATCATCGAGACCATAAGTTAGGTTAGAATAATCTCTCCCAATTAATCTATATACTTAACAGTGAGTTGAGTAAATATGAGTTTTTGAAACAAATAAATGAGTTGAATTAATAAAAGTTATCAATACAAATAAATTAAAAGAATCCATATAAATTATTGACATTTTTATTTTCAAGTTTATTTAAAGTATTAATTTATTTTTTAAACTTATATTTTCTATTTTTTTTTGCCATTGTCATTACAAATAGCTAGGATATACTTACATTTTAATCTCTCCAACATTCTTAACAATGTCTATTCTCTCATAGGGGGTTACGATCATGAATGGGGAGTCTTAATCCACCTGCTTAATCCTCGTAGGATAGTTCAAATTCTTCATATAACAAAACACATGTCAAACCATCATTCAAAACATTCAATCAATTTTCATTATGTTTAAGTCATAGACATAAATTGTTATCCATGGCAAAAATTCACCAAATTTTCAGCATTGCAACTGTCTAACTTATTGTTCAAACCAATCATACATATACAAATTTATACACAGCACATTCAAAGTTTCTAAGTCTAATCTACTACATGCTCTTTAACATGACATAATATACCATTCTAGGAACATATTCTCGTCATAACAAACACAGATTTCACATAAGCAATTCTCCTAATACATAAAATATGTGTTGCAGACTAAGGGAAATCCTATTTCACTTATTCTTTATCCTTACTAGATATTTCAAATATAGCACTTTGGTCCTACGAATTTCTCTTTGTGTAGTCTTGGTGTTGTTAGAACAAGTATGGATTTTTTAGTATATCTCCACACTAGTATGATATTGTCTACTTTAGACCTAAGTCTTCATGGTTTTGTTTTTGGACATCATCCAAAAGGCCTCATCCAAAAGCATTGGATTTCACGAATTCATGATCGATGACATCGAACACGGTAGAAGACCTTATTCTTCGCCAATCGCAGCCATTGAATCATACCCAGTCATGAAGAATTTGGAACTCGTTGTTGCTCAAATCAGAAGCAGATGAAGAGAAGCATTCAAGCAGACATTCTATGGGGAGTGGGTGGGAACTTCTTTGATAGATATTCTCAGAAAAATTTATGTGAATACTAAGATGAAGTCCATCTCTCACTCATTCAAAAGATAGATCGAGAAATAGCTAAATTAACCCTAAACTTGCTTTCGTTTTTGCTTAATGGTATATAGGTGAACCTGAACCAGGTCAAATCTTTTCTCTTCCTGACCCCGACCCTGAAGTAAGGTTGGTACTAGGAATCTATCAATATCCATTCGGGGATAAAGAAAGAATCAATGCAGTGAGCACTCCACTGATTATTATAGTTTTGGGACTGCCTTCCCTAATCAAATGTGAGGCCTAGGGATCCCTACACCTAGTAGTCAAAGTCTCCCCTGCTATGTCTATAGCAAAGTCCTAGCTTTTGTAAAGTATAGTTCCACCTACTCCCGATGCTTCCTCTTCTCAAATGAAAGCTTCTTCACCTCTGCTCTAAAACTAGGGCATTCCTCTGTAGGGCAATCGTGCCATTAGCTTATGTGCCATAGAGGTGGGAGGGGAAGGAGGTTCAAACTAATCACCATGAAACTAGTACCCGTAGTGCCCATTGTTGACTTGGAGGAGTATGAAAGCCCCTATTCCCGATTTGATCACTATCAGCGATCGTATGGAATAGATTGGACTACTTTCTTTCTTTGATTTTCAGCAAGCATTTTTTGAAAGTAACAATTCTATTCAGTTTGGTTTCGAAAAACTTTCTGGTCGCGGATTAGTGTGTTCAAAAAACTTGCTGGTTGTAGAATAGTGCGTTTTGCGCTGCAGTTTTTGGACATCATCCAAAAGGCCTTATACTAATAGAGATCTACCATACTTATATGCCCTTGATCCTCCACGATTCTAGTCAATGTGGGACTTTGTTCGCACATCCCAACAATCTCTCCCTCGAACGAAGTCCTCTACCACCAGAGCTCACCCTGGAGGGGCCCTTGCCCTCTCCTGGCTCTCCAGGCACCCTTGCAATCTGAAGGAAGAGTTTCTATCGATTAGGTTACTTAATTGTAAGGCTTTCTCCAACTAGCCATTTTATCTGAATGAAAGTCTTTCTTAGCAGCTAGGGGAGAGGGGGCAGGGAGGCCGCTATTCCTGACCGAAGAAAGGAATAGAGTAAGGACTCTACCGATTCTAACTAAAAACAAGCCTGTATTCCAGAAGAAGAGGACGATAGCTAGATCTTAATACCCTAGAAAAGAGAGAACATAAGCTCTAGCCTTATGATAAGCCTCTATTTCATAGGGGCGAAACATGTTTACAACCCTTAGAGGTAGCAAACCCTTATAGCATTAGTGAAATGCGTTAAAGAACCCTTGACCCGAAAACTTGTAAAGTTTCCACACTAGTTCTGGGGTAAGTCAGGGTATGAAGCCACCAGTCTTCACTCAGCATGCTGCTTCCTTAGTGAGAATTTTCCTACTAGTTAAGGTGCTACTACCACCAGCAAAGGGAGCGAGCTTGCCCCCTGGCTCTCTCTTAGAGGTCCACCTGCACTGGGCCTTCCCATAAGGATCCGCAACCATCACTGCACACCTGGGGCTCAACTGGCAAGGGGGTAGGGAGGCCACTATTCCTAACCGAAGGAAGGAATAGGGTAAGGACTCTACCGATTCTAATTAAAAACAAGCCCGTATTCCAGAGGAAAAGGGCGCTAGAGCTTAATACCCTAGAAAAGAGAGAACATAAGCTCTAGTCTTATAATAAACCTCTATTTCATAGGGGCGAAACAAGTTTACAACCCTTAGAAGTAGTAAACCCTTATAGCATTAGTGAAACGTGTTAAAGAACCCTTGACCCGAAAACTTGTAAAGTGTCCAGTAAAATGTCCACACTAGTTCCGAGGCAGGTCAAGGTATGGAGCCACTAGTCTTCACTCAGCATGTTGATTCCTTCCCTTCCCCCCTCGCTCTCTCTACCTGGGGATCTGATACCACTCCACCTGCACTGGGTGCTCATACTAGGGCTCACCATGTGTTCACACTGCTTCCTTTCTTTCCTCCCTCGCTCTCTCTACCTGGGGATCTGATACCACTCCACCTGCACTGGGTGCTCATACTGGGACTCACCGTGCGTTTGCGCTGCTTCCTTCCCTTCCCCCCTCACTCTCTCTACCTAGGGATTTGATACCACTCCACCTGCACTGGGTGCTCATACTGGGGCTCACCGTGCGTTCACGCTACTTCCTTTCCTTCCCCCCCTCGCTCTCTCTACCTGGGGATCTGATACCACTCCACCTGCACTGGGTGCTCATACTGGGGCTCACCGTGTGTTCACGTGGCACTACCTACATCCTCATACTGGGGCTCACCGTGCGTTCACGCTGCTTCCTTCCCTTCCATCTTTGGAGATGATTCTGTACTCCAATTTGGCAGAGGAACTCTAGGACACCCTTAGAAAAATGCACCTGGTGCCATAGCTAATTGAGTAGCTCTTGAAGCATGTGTACAAGCTCAGAATGAGGGACATGATCTTGCTCGTGAAGGTAATGAAATTATCTGTGAGGCTAGCAAATAAAGTCCTGAATTATCTGTTGATTAAATTTGAATTCCCAGCAATGGATACTTTGTAATGTAGTAATTATCGTTTGTTTTATTAATAATTAATTGCAATTAAACTCAGCCCAATCTTTTCCTAAAAAGATTGAGCCGAATACAATAAAGATACTTTTTGTATATATTAGAAATACTTATTATTTCTATAGAATACATATTCTTATTATTATTATTATTATTATTATTATATATATATATATATATATATATATATATATAATTTTGTTTTTGGTCATCATCTAAAAGGCTTCATACTAACGAAGATTTATCATATTTATATGTCTTTGATATTCTCCGATTTTAGTCAATGTGAAACTTTATTCGTACATCCCAACAAGTGTCAATGTACTCCAAAAATCATTTTATACTAAGAAATATTGAACACAAAGTTTCAGTATATTTACGTGTGTTTTTGCAGCTTACAAAAATAGACGTAAATAAAGGAAATGGAATCTGATTTACGTTGGAAAGTGCATGAGAAAGCTTATACTACAAGGAACATAATCAAACCTCTGCATGAAATTTATCAAAAAAACGCTCAACACAAATACTGTTCCTGCAGACAAAATACAGATTTTTCGTACTTATGCTTTTGAATTGACACTGGGCGAAATGAACTCCACTTTGGACTTGTGAAGATGCATTGAAAAGCTATTTCTGTGAGGAACGTGAAAATGGTTTGCATGTCAGTTTAAATGGTTACAAAGACTAAAAGAACACGGTTTTGCTCGCTGGGGTCACAAAAAACGCTTAATGATCAAGAAATGTTTTGAAAAGCTTGAATCCTATAAAATCCATGGAGACACTTGCATATTAAAACAGAGCCTTCCAACGGAGTCAAAAGTTGCAAGATAGAATGCATGAATGCAGTGGAACTTGAGCTTTCTGAAGCACAACTCGTTAAAGTTGAATGATCTTTTGTAATTTCGTATACACCAAAATTAAATCTTTAGTTTTTGACTTTCAACGAGTCTAATGAAGCAAAAAATTAAAAACCAAAAACAAGAAAAAAAAGTACAATAAGCCAAAATTGGGAGATTTTTTTTAAAGTGTGAAATTAAATTTAAATTATTTTTTATGAACATTTTTACTGTCACTCTAAAATTTCTTCTGTCACTCTTATTTAACTAATTTGAATTTATAATATTTTTTAACTGTATTAACAATAAAAATATTTAAGTAAAAAAATAAAATGAGAAGTGACAGTGAATATATTAAAATTTATTACCACTAAAATATTTATTGTCACTTTTATTTAAATAATTTTTTAAAGTAATTATTAAAATTAATTTAATAAATATATTAGAGTGACAAATTTTCACTCCTTTTTTTAATTGACGAGAAAGTAACGTTTGGGTCTTGTAAGGATGCATTAAAAAGGTATTTTTGTGAGGAACACAAAAATGAGTTTGCATGTCAGATTAAATGGTTAAAGAAACAAAAAAGAAAAATGCAATTTGGATCGCTGGTGTTGCAAAACATAAGTTTTGAAGTGTACTTATGGTTTGAACTACGATTAATGATCAAGAAAGTGTTTGCAGAAGCTTGAATCTTATACAATCCAAGGAGACATTTGCATAGCAGAACTTGTAAAACTTGAATGATGTTACCTTGCAGAACAATTAATGAGTGTAGGGAATAATGATTTTTAATTTCGTATACACCAAGAGTAAATCTTTAATTTCTGACTTCCAATAAGTCTAATAAAGCAAAAATAAAAAACAAGAAAAAGGTACGGCAAGCAAAAATTGGGAGAAAAAATGTAAAAAAAAAGAAAAGTGTGAAATGAATTTAAAATTATTTTTTATGAACATTTTTATCGTAACTCTAAAATATCTTCTGTAACTCTTATTTAACTAATCTTTATTTATAATACTTTTTGTTAATTAAATTAATAATAAAAGAATTTTAAGTAAAAAATAAAATGAGAAGTGACAATAAATATATAAAAATTTATTACCACTCTTATTTAAATTATTTTTATTTAAAGTATTTTTTAATTAATTTAATAGTAAAAATAATTCAATAAAAAAAGTTTAAACAAAAAAAGTCACAAATATATTAGAGCGACAATTTTTCAGTCCTTTTTCCATTCATGAGAAAGCAATGCTTGGTTCTTGGGATAGAAACAACATGCACAACCAGAACAGCGCTTGTGTTTCTTTTATTCTTGGATTCTAACACATAATAAGAGATACCAACAAGAGATATTGTTGTGATATTATCTGCTTGTTGGACAATTATGTAAATGTATTATCTGAAAAGTTATAGCTACGTGTACATACACACATATATATACCAAGCCAACCATAGTCCAGCTATAAAATAGAAGAGCCTTATCTTTATTCATGTTGCTTCCAAATTAACATGGCTTCCATAGTGTTCTCATATCCTTCTCCTCTTCATTGTCCACACCACATATATCCATTAACATCACAACACCCTTCAAAGTTTTCCATTAAAATCCAACCCAAAAAGCACTTTTTCATTAGAAGCACATCTTTGAACTCCCCTTCTGAGCCTGATTTTCCAACTCCAGATCCTTCTTCTAGCACAGTCAACAGTCCAGAGACTTTTCCCATTGAGAAGAGAAGAAGATCAGAGATAGTGAGAGAAAGGAGGGCAAGAAAACTTGAGAAGCCAGAGCCACCAAACTTTGAAATTGGTTGGAAAAGGACTAAAACGATTAACCTTGAGAAGCCAATAGGGCATGTCATAGCTGATTTTTTGGAGAAGTTGGAGTCCCTCATGGGAAAGGAATTTGGGTCAACAGAACTGTTGGCAAAGGTTGGAGAAATTGTTGCTGAAAGGGCAAGAGAGGAGGCTGAGATTTTGAGAGATGAAGGGAAAGTAGAGGAGAGAATGGTGACTGAACTGTTTAGAGTTTTGAGGTTGATGGAGATGGATTTGGCCATGGTGAAGGCTGCAGTTAAGGAAGAAACATTGGGTGAGAGACTTGAACAAGCTAAGGCAAGGTGCAGACAAGCCATACTTGTTGCTTATTCCTTTTGAATTCTTACATGGGAATTTGACATTGGAGATGTACAATGTAACAATAATAACTTGAAAATGTTGCTAGGTATTTATTTATTTTTTAATTGTGGTTGATTGATATTTTAATAGTGATCAGAATTTTTTCACCTAAAGAAAGACATCAGATTTGGATTTAGACAATATATCATGCTTAAGACATTGTTTTCACAATGTGATAATGATTTTATTTATGTTAAAGAGTTGTCTGTGGCATTTTGAGGTTCTTGTGTCTGAATTGGATTCTATGACGTTAGAACATTAATGGATTACTCACAATTGGCTTGAACTTCAGACCCAAATTACTTATTTGTTGTGTCGTTTCAATGTTATTCTATTTCTAGAGGGATATTTGGTCCATAAAGTGGTGTTCATCTCTTCTCTTTGTTTCTTAAGATTGAATGGTACTGCTTCTGAACTGTGAAGATAATGGTACAATAAAACCACAGATATTGCTCATCGCTACAACTACCAAGGTTACCCATTGTATTGCGCGAATTAATCTATATTAATTAAATTCATTCGGTGTGGATACTTTTTTATGGTATGCTTGACATTTTATTTAATTCTTTATTTGCGTGTGTAAGCAATTAGATAGAAATAAGATTATTCTATAAAAGAAATAATATATAATAAAGATAAATCAGGGCCATTAGGCATAATTTTTTTTTAAAAAAAAAACTTATTTACTATAATGTTTTTTTTAATTATCGGCATGGTTTGGTTAGTCAATCATATATTTATTTGATTATTGTTTTGCAAGATAAACAGAAGACCGTCTTATTATTATTATTATTATTATTATTATTATTATTATTATTAAAAGTAACTCGATATGCACTTAATTGAGACCTCGCATTTCGAAACAGCAAAGACTAAATTCCCATATATATCGAGATGCTATGCACAAACAAGAACTTGTACCGTATCACTAATCTTTTGTCTCCAACTTAAGTAGGCGTTATGAGAGGATCCCTACAAAGATACAGAGCTACATCATATGACAAGTTATAAAACTGGTTGAATTGTGAACCGATATTAACGTCAATTTGATTTCCAATTTTACTTTAAAAATACTATTACTCAACACTATAAACTTTTGTCACCATTTTACTAAAAGAATTGGGGAAAACAACTTGTTGGATTGATGTAATCATTGAGTAAAAACATTGTGCAATTCTAAAAATGTTTTGGAGGTGGTAATGGTTACACAGGAAATGTACAACAAACAAATCTAAGTTCGCTGAGTTGAAGTTAGTTATATAGATCAAAATAATTAGGGGGGGAATTCTATGTACACCAGCCCCCTATTAGTTGTAAACTTGATTATAAGCACTACACATACACCCTCTTGCTAAGGAGTCTCATCCAGCATTGTGTAAATCAGTGGCATTGGTAAATCCACTTAGAAGAGAATCGTGACATTTCTGTGAAGGTAAAAGGCCAAGTTTATCCTTGATTTCTGAAAGTAACTCGAGGCAGGTGTGCAAATGATTGGACTCTGACTCTTCAATTAGAGAAAAAACCTATACGCATACGGAAAATTGTTATCAATAAGATGTTGTCTAATGGAACCGATATAATAATGAAGGTTGGAGAAACCTGAAATTTTCCAGAAACCGAATATTTCATGACCCATACAATACAGCATAGCAGTTTGAAAGAGTTTCACACTTGCCTAAACTAAAATAATAACAGTAATACTGAATTGTGGGTTTATACTATAAATTAAGTGAAAAGGAAGCCAAAGCTAACCTTATCAAAGAGAACTTCCATAACCAATTCATCATTTTGGAACTTTTCCTTGAGAAGATTACACAAGTCAACAGCAGAACTGACACAACATACAATGAACATAGATTAAAATGCAGAATTCATTTTTAATGCCAGTAAATTCAATAAAGTAAAGGAGAAAAAATAAAACCTTAAATGCTTATTCCAAACGCAATACAAGATGATTCTGCAGCAAGCATTATTCCAACAGTCTGAATCATTCAATTCCTCAAGTAGCAGAAGCAACCTTTTCAAATCTCCATCTGAACGAGTGTGCTCCTATGAATGTTCAATGGGTTGATTGAGAATGATTGTAAGTTAAAAACTATAAAATTACTGATATATTTTTAAAACCTTACAATGAGACTCAGAACATCTTTTGGCTCCATCTTGTGTCCAACTTGCTTCATTTCCTCGTATATAAGAAGAGCCTCAGACAATTGCCCATGTGATGCTAGTACTGAGACAAGAACACTCTTGATTTGGTTCAAGCTCTTCAGTGGTATCAATGGATCTAAGATTACCTATAACACTTAGGATTAATGAGATCATCATAAAAGTTACTCAGTGCTTTAAGCAAATAATAGATGGCTCTTGTCAAAGTATATACATTTCTAAAATCACAGTATAGAGAGAAAATGCATGAGACTTTTTTGTGTGTATTGCATTTAACAATCCAAAGGTCTGAATTTATACAAGTGTACAAGGATCTATATTAATTATAGAATATTATCTAATAAAAGTAATCTTGATATTAAATTCTTAATTACCATTTTGTATATCAATACACTGAAATCATAGAATCAAGGAACAACAGAAAACAAAAAAGATGCATGACGTAGTGCAAAAAAACAAAAGTTTTCACAAATTTAAGAAGAAATGGAAGTTATTTTGGCTGAAAGTATTTATAGTATTTAAAATATATTCAAATATCCAATAATATTTTCATTGTATTTTTTATTAATTTATAGTATCATATATTATATCCTAGGATTACTTTTCACATTTCCTTATTATCTTTACAGATTGTTTTTATATTCCATCGCCTGTTTCCTAATATTATTAGAATTATGATCTAATATTAGTAATTTACAATAATGGATAGTTTATATTTGCAATTCATGCTACAAAAGCCAATATAGGTCTGGGAGAAGATATTTTAATGAAACAAGAATCAGAAAATGTAGACTTGGATCAGTCACATTGGATGGAGCAAAACATAGAGAATTTTGATTAAAAATGTAAAGAATTTTTTCTTTCCAAGAAGGCTGGTCATTTAAGAATAAGCATGAAGATACAGTATGACTAGTCATTCAACAAGAGGGAGTCCAAGTTCCTCAAAAACAGATAATAACAACATATAGATAAGGAGGACAACCAATCCTTTCTTGTAACTGCATATAGCACCTTGAAAATTTTATAAATGAAAAGAATGCATCTTGCAACTTGAAAAAGTAAAACAGAACAGCTAATGTTGACTAAATTGGTCGAGTCAAAATCCAAAGGCCAAAGCACTGGTCTGGTCTCCACACTTCAACCCATGAAAGATATTTGGAACCAATCACTAATAGTTCAAAAGGTAAACATGATTATAGTTTTTTAATATCAATTTGGTCAGCTCCCAAGCAACTATAAACATGACATAGATTTACATGCAATTATTCATCAAAATGGAGAATATATTTCACAGAAACAGAATTTCCTTGCACCCGTACCTTTTTTGCTTTCTCCAGCAGTCCACAAGCAGCATAAGCATTTATAAGTGTCGTGAAAATTTGCTTTGTAGCTATTTGTCCAGATTGCTTCAGTTCTTCGTAATACTACAAGCATAATGTTGAAACAAAATCTTAAGCTTTCAACACATCTGTGATCTGTAGACTGTGTATCTTAATTACATACTTCAGTTTATCAAAATTACAGGTAAACCTAAAAAATATTAGATTGAAGTATCACGGCATTAGCATAAATAAACAAAAAGGGACAACTGCATACTTAGTGGAGCCATGCATGATAATGAACTAGATAGAAAAAAAACAACCAAGATGCAATTTCTCTTACAGTATTTGGTTCATCTGAAATGAAGCTATGATCAACACAATTCTTATTTTTTGCAAAGTATGTGTTAATCAGAAGGAACAATATGAAAAATAACATAAACCTTTGGACACAAACATTGGATTTATAAGATCACAACAAAATGGCCAATATGGAGGAGACAAGTTTATTCTTGATTCAGATAGATATGTAAGAAACAATTATGTGGCTATTAATCACAACTTACCTTCTCTATATCCTCTTCAGTTTCAGAGTTGTTAATCAGGTAGCTGAAAGTCTGTGTATCAGGCTTTATATCAGCACACTGCATGTACTCAAGGACCCTCACCCCATCACTAATGTTTTTCTGCAAAATTTGAGAAAAGGAATGCATATTTGAAGCAGATGTGTTATTTATAAAAATATTAAATAATTCCATGCAATGCATGAGTAACATGTTATTTATATATAATAATGGAATTTAGGCTTTTTCAAACCTAAAATTAATATTTATAAATCCATCTACATGTTTAACTTGTGTGGATATAAGACAAATCTCCAAGCTATCTATCTAGACATGAATGTACAGAGTCCATTTGATCTTTCAGTCAAAGCCAGCAAAAAATGATACAAATCAATTATAGCAAACCATTCTAATCTCATTGAAGAAATAGGAATAAGTTAAGAGCAAAACAGAGGCATCCTCAATAACAAGAAACAACACCTCTCGAAAACATTCTGCCATTACTGCATTGTACATGCCTGCTGTTGGCTTTGAATTCATTTCCTTCAAATCATCAAGCATCTTATATGCACCTTCAAGCTGCATTATGAAACCAAATAAAAAAAAATTTTGATGAAGAGTTGATGTCAACGATGATTCACCAAATTATTATCATAATAGTATTTAGCAAGATGCAGTCAAAATTAGAAGAATGGCCAATGAATGTAAATAAAATATGTACAACTTACATCTTTCATCTTCAAGAACAAGTCTATCATAGATCTGAATGTTTCATCATTTGATTCCAAATTGTAACGACGTATGATAGAAAGAATCCGATGGACCTTTATTTAAGAATACAAAAAAGAAGAAAACAAACATTACACATTCAAAAAGTAAACAATGCTAGATCCTAAAGGATTCAATGTTCAAACAATTCACACAGAGCCCATTTCAGCACATACTCTCGTGAAATGTTTAATTCTTCCTGTTTTACTTGTCTTTTGCACTTGCAATATCATGAAAAATTGAAGCCATACAGATGGATAAAGGAAATATATATCTCATTGTGTAATCCTTACTGATTTGGCTTCTCTAGCCACAAGAAAAAGTGCCACATTTTCCCTAAAGGTAAAGGCTGGTGTGTTAGTAGAAAGGTTTGAATCTTAGACAAAAGCATCCAAAAGATGAACTGATTAATTCAAAGCAATCTCACTGTGCTATAAAACTACAGCCAAGAAAGATAAAATTTATGAAATAGGACGCTAAATAATGCTGCAGAAAGAACCATATATTCCTTTGCTTATAACTGTGTTTTAGCTAGCTAGAGACAAAATACTATTGGACCTTCACCTGACATCTTTAGCTTTTAGGCTCATTGATCGTTTGATCCCTTAACATGGTGGCTTTCATTATCAAGAAGTAACAATTGTAACTGATGTCAAATTAAATTTTAGCAAAAGTTAATGACAGGCCTATACTTCATTTTTTCTTCAGAGTCAAAGGAATTTCATTTAAGAGGCGTATAATGGACAAAATCATTCTTTTTATAAAAAAAGGATCATTCTTGGATCTTCACCTAAATTTAACACCATAAGCTTTTAAGTTAGACAGTTCATTGACATAATATAAACAGAAATTATTTCAAGATAAAAAATTATGTGGTGAGAAGATATGAATGCATTAGCATACAAGTTATGATCAATGAAGAAAACAAAGAAGTGATTATATGGAAGATTGGTCATACCAAATTATATTCTGATGTCTTGTCACAAATTTGTAATATTGAGTGTAACACCTCAGTCGATAAAGTCATGCCTGCTTCACACATTTCATCAACAATATCAAGTGCCACATGCACCTGCATTACAAACCAAAAAGAATTCATCTTAAATGCAATCTCCAAGCTTTTTCATAGTAATTAGAATATCCACAATATACAAACAGTCACACACACACAAGTAATGTATATTATTGAAGCCCATCACTAACTCTTGACAATAGATTATGTTTTCTCCTCCTGTCATCTATTCACCTCAGCGATCTTACTCTTCTAAGTAGTGACTTCCCACTGCTTGATGAGAAGATTAGTAAATGATCACTTGAGAAGGAAATAGCATTTATAGGTGAGTTCGAAAGTGAAGGCAATATTTGAGAGAAGGATGTGGACAGGGCATTGGATAAGATCATCAATGGGTAAAAGGAATACATCAGTTACAGAAGAAGAAAGAACAAGCAAAGTCATTATGTCAGCAAAAAAGAATGGAGGATGATGGGTGCACTTTCAATGTCTTGTTTCTGGACAGAACAGTTCTCTTATTTTCATTTCCTTTCTGGATTTCTATTTCTTCTTATAGACAAGGTTCTGCTAGTCACTTGGTCATAATTAAAAGGCAATAAGAGAAGGTTATACCTTGAGCAATGCACAACTATGTAAAATGAGCTTCTCGTATGATGAGGATGAAGGTGAAACTTCTAGTCTTTTATGCAAATCCTTGAATTTTTTTATGACATCCTCAACCTTCAAGAATACCAACAATATATGTTAAGCAACAAAACAAACACATAGACAATGATTTTTTCTCCCACAATAGACAAAGTACTATTGACAATTATTATATCAAAAACATGTATGCATTAAAACGGCTACTGACATTTCTTGATTGAGGTCAAATGTTCATATGCAACTACCCCTTTTTATCATACAAGCACAATGAAGACCTCACTGGTTTTTAATCATAGAGGAAGTATGAGTTTCAACAATTGTTTTAGATAGAGCTGGAGCATATTTTAAAAACATGTCAATTCTATCTGTACCTGAGAATTCAAAATGGTACACTGTTGATCCTAACCAACAAATGCCTCAGTTTATTTCAACATTATTGAGAATTCAAAATCAATTATCAAGAAATTGTCACGGAAGTATGCAAACAGAAACTAGCAAACTGGCTTTCATGCAACATCAATAGTACTAAAGTCTGAAGTGACATAGCTTTGGTATGAAGCAACTGCATAAAGCAGACGCACTTAATAGTATCACAGCTTCAAGTATTATTAGCCCCATTTGTGTGATTTTTCTTACCAAAAAATTTGGAATGCTAACAGCATAATTAGCAATGAAGTTTGTAATGTTATCTGCAAAATGTAAGAAAATCTCCATAAAATATATACAAGAGGCAAATTTATAGAGGAAATTAATGCCTAATCCCTCTGTATAATCAATAATATTATTTCAGATACACATAGGTAAAATGTTAAGAGAAAAAAATCTTTAATTTAATACATCAACAATTACCCAAGAAAAAAAAAGAACAATGCAGTCCTAATTTAAGTCAGTTGATACATATAAAACATGAGAATAACAAAATTCAAGAGATAAAAAGGCTCATATAGCATAGCATACATTTTTTCCTTTTTTTTCCAATGCAACTTAGGTTCATTTCTCACATACAGACAACCACACAGGCGAAAGAAAATAAATATCAAATCACCAGTTGTTTTGAAGTTCAAAAGGAACTTCTCTGCAACAGGTTCCAATAATAATCTTCCTAAAGCCTGAAATATCTTTGCTACAGATTCAGCAGATGAGAATTTTTTTATGTCTATGATCTCCAACAGCTTCAAGATCTCCTCCTTCCTTTCACTCTCACAAAGAGCCAATAAATAACTTTCTGCAACAAATTGAACTAAGTAAGTTTCTAAACATGAAACAAAATTTTCTATTATTATTGAACATCAAATTGGAGAAAAAGCAGCAACATGTTAATAGTTATGTTTCTTACTAGATAGCAGATGCAATAATTTTGAAACATGCATGTTTGGTATTGACACTTCTAATAATGAGCTGCATAATGTACTTGGAAAAAATTCCAGCATAAATTCTATTCTTAGAACATGTTTTGGGTAGAGCAGAGGTGTGAATTCAGATAAATACGTTAATTCCAATACAATAGCATAAACATTTATATCTGAATAATATGATTTAATTAGCCACATGGATCGTGTCACTTAGAATTCAATTAGCATGGCCCAAATAGTGTTCCCTCAAATGATAAAAAAAAATGTCATAAAAGACATAAATTATGTCTGTGTAATGCAAAAATACCAATGAACTTCTCAACATCTGTTACAGTTAAAATTCAAAGCTAGATGTTTGAACATAGCTTCAGCAGAACATATTGTGACAAAACAATGCAAGTGAAAAAAACAAAAGAAAAAATATTCCCCTACCTCGTAAATCAGACATATCCTCACCATTGTTCTCTACAATGTAGTTACAAAGACCCTGAATCTTTTCTTCATTATTAACTCTTAACCATAGCATCATTTCATAGTAACCCAGTCTTGTAACTGAACTAGGATTCTCATTTTCTATAACATCGCAGAAAAATTGAAACTCTTCAACCATACACATGTCAATAATGTACAAAAGAAGTGGGCGATATGTTTGCTCTTCAAGTTCTAAACCTTGTTCACTCATTGATTTAAATAGGTGAAAAACCTTCCCCATTGCTTCTATTGCAATGTCTTCGTCATCAGTACCTTTGGCCTTATCTATGCACATTTCTACCAATGCACTATATCCTTTGATACCTGGTTCCCGTCCCACTTTACCAAACAACTCAAGGGTAGGCTCTGGTCCTAGTATCTTTGCACAGATTTCAATTAACTTCTGAAAACGCTTTTCTTGCACTAATTCAAATACAAGTTTTTGCTTCTTTTTACGAGATTGCTCTTTCCATTGGATTAATACATTGCTTTGAGATATGCCCGACAACCACGATGGATTTGGCATTCTTTCAAACTCCTGTGCACCACCATCAATTTCCTCAGAATCAGATTTCCTAACTGAGTTACCACCTACAATAAGTAACAATAAACCAATATAATTTACTATTTTAGTTAAAGAGAAAACAAGTTCAGAAATTAAAGGTGATTTATTCAGAGCAGTGATGATGTAGATCACCCAGAATGAAAGGCAGAGTAATCCTGAGAAACGAAATTTTTTCAAACTTTACATAAATTCTACTGTACCTACTTCCAGCCTCCTCTGTTTTCCTCGCTATCCTAGACAAAATGCATAAATTAAATACATATTCTCATAGACATTTTAACAAACACTCACCGTAGAAAATAGAAGAAATCTGCTTAAACACCACCATAGACGAATCATCTGCAACAAAATATCAAAAAACAAAAAATGAGATATTTGTACTCAGTGTCCCACAATACAGCATTCTGAACAACAACTTCCAAGAAAAACGACACCCATTAACATAACGACTCTGATCCTAAAATACCCAGAAACCATTTCGGTCATCGTTCTTTTACTTGAACAATCGAGGTTTACATAGGAATTGTTTGAAAGGGAAAGAAACGAAGGACATTTTTAAAAAAAATTTAAATTATTAAATTAAAATATATCATTTAAAATTAAAATTTTGTCCTTCCTTACTCTTCCCTCTAAAGCCTCCTTCTCAAACAAAGGTACAGTGAAAAGGGTATGGATTTTATGAAGTGCCTGAATCAGAAGGTGGCTTGAGGTTGAGGTTTGAGAGCGTAAAATTCTCATTGAATTTGGACACAGAACGTGAGCGAGTGCTTAGATTTCTAACGTAGGAGAAGCGCATTTGCGTTTATGATCAACTTCAAACGCCACGAAATCTCTTTCTTTCAAAGGAAATGGAACCTACACAACAATTTGTCATCAATTTTCACTTCCTTTCCCTCTATGCCTCATGAATCTCTGTCCACTCCCCACTACGGAAATGCTGTGTAAGTGTTGTTCCAAGGAATTGTTACTTCCCCCCTAAACTCATGTAAAAGGGACAATTATTTATTTTTATATTAGTTAATTAAAAAATATATTTTTTAATTGATTGTTAATATACAAGTTTTTATACTCATAATACAAATTTTATAAATTATTAGTAAATATGTTTCTACATGGGACGAATTTGTTTTATTTTTATTAAATTAATTTATTTTAAAATATAAAATATATAATTTAAATATAAAAATCAATAAATATAGTAAACAAATTTATTTGTTAAAATAAATTATTATTTAAAATATGTATAATTTAATATTTCTTAACATAAAATATTTTAGTCTTAAAATATAAAAATAAACTTTATATTATTTCATGATATCAAAAATTACTCATTATTATAAAATTTTAAATAAATAATTATAACAATAAATTATAAATATAATAAATTTTTTAATATAAGTTATAAAATTTAAATAAAATAATTTATAATTTTTATTTATATATTTGTTTATATTTATTGAATTAAATTTATATGATAAATTGTTTATTTATAATTATAATTTAAAAATATTAATAAAATTTTATAATATAATTATTAAAGCATGATATTATATTTTTTTAAAATAATTTATCAGATTAATATATATAAAAAATTATATTTATTCAACTAATGTATAAAATTTTAAAAATATGCTTTCAACATCAATATATACAAAACTATATGTTAATATTTAAAAATAAAAATATATTAAATTTTTTATATATAAATAAAATTATCATACAAAATTATTTTAAATAAAAATTAATAATAATATAATATATATTCTTAATTAAAAGTTTACTTTTTGATAAAAAAAAAATATAGAATTGAGTTTTTTAAAATGATTAAATTATTCTATATTTTTTATAACTTAACAGAATTAATAATAATTGATATTATAAATAAATTAATTTTATAATAATTAAGTATAATAAAATTATGTTGTTTGGATCATAAAATTAAAATAATAAATTTATTAATTTTTTTATGTAATTTTTTAAAAATTTTAAAAATGATTAATACAGTTTATTTATCATTTATTATTTTAATTAAGAATCAAGAAAAAATATATTTATAAAGTAATTTAATGATGAAATAATATTTTAAAAAATTTATTAAAAGAATAAATATTAATTTAAATAAAATTTAAAAAATAATTTAATTAAAAATTTGATTTAATAATATTAATACTTATCTTTTCAATAAAAATTTGATTTAATAATATATAATATAAAATAATAATTAACATTCAAATGTTAAATAGAAGTTAAAAATAAATAAATATTTTTATTTTTAATTAAAAATAACTTGAAAACTTCATCAATTTTTATAAAAAATATTTTTACATAATTTAATCAATATTTTTTTTACTATTTTTAATATTTGATATAGAAAATCTTGAAATTATTTTATTTATAATAAATTTTAATAATTTCTTTATTAAATATTATTTACAGTAATTTTGTTATTGTATTTTTAACAATATATAATTATCAATTCTAATATATAATTTTTAACTTTTATGATATCAAAGCTCTTGATCTCAAGAGCTTTGGTTTTCTTCTTCCATAGTGCCAGGAAATTCCAGCGGTAGAAGTGGAAACTCAACACCTCCTCCTCCTCTGGTGCAAGACCTTGCTTTGAATTTCTTGAGTGAATATTACATCCATCCCGGTGAGAATTCCTCTCTTGTATTAGCCACATCATTGCTATCCGAAAGGAATTATCATAGCTGGGCTAGAGCTATGAAGAGATCCCTCATTTCTAGAAACAAGTACAAGTTTGTTAATGGCATGATGCCAATGCCATCCACCTTTGATCCAAGTTTTAAGGTATGGGAAAGGTGCAATAACCTTGTCCTAACTTGGATTTTCAACTCAGTAGAGCCAACAATTGCTCAGAGCATTGTCTACTTAGAGTTAGCATTAGTAGCATGGAAACTATTGAAGGATAGATTTTCTCAAGGTAATAGAATCTGCATATTTGAGTTATAGCAAGAATTGAACTCACTAAAGTAAGGTACTAATTCTGTCACTAGCTATTTCACTGAGATGACTTCATTATAGGATGAGATTGAAAATGTTAGACCTCTTCCACATTGTATCTGTACTATAAAATGTGTGTGTGATGCTAGCAGAAATGGTAAACTATATAGAGATGAGGATTGCATTTTAAAATTTCTAAGTGGATTGAGAGATGAGTTTGATGTAGTAAAGTCACAGATTCTTATGATAGAGTCATTTCCAGATCTGAGTAAAGTTTTTTCCCTAGTGATTCAACAAGAAAAGAAGCTGAGCAATTCAAGTAATGATAGTGATGTGCAGGTTTTTGCAAATGCTGAGAATGGAAGAGGTAGAGGTAATTCTCCAAACTTTTCTAATGGAAGATCTAATATGAAAATGTGTAGTTACTGTGGAAATGCATGACATACTATTGAGGTGTGTTATAAGAAGCATGGTTACCCAACCAATTTCAAGTCAAAAGGTAGTGGAAGCATAAATAATATAGTAGGGGACTCCACAAACTCCATTGTAAATGATGAAATGGACTTGAAAACTGATATTGAGATTGCATCTCAGGCCTCATCTCAAGTTTCATTGTTTGATGAGCAGTTTAAGGCTATCATGGCTCTTCTCCAATCATCAATATTGCTAGCTCTTCAAGAAACAATTAGGTAGCAGCTGTAACTACAAAACAACAAAGTCAACGTGCTAATCATATAGCTTGCAGCATCTATACCCTGACTGACACTTGGATACTTGATTTAAGTGCAACTAACCATATCTGTTCAAATGAAAAATTCTTCAACTATTTGAAACCAATAAACCATAATCTTATCACTGTGAACCTTCTAAATGGCCAAATATTCACTGCAACACATAAAGGAACTATCAGCTTGGCTGAAAATTTTATTCTAACTGATGTTCTCTTTCTGCTTGGCTTCAAATTGAATCTCATTTCTATTTTTAAATTGAGCTCACAATTTAACTTTGGTTTCTTTTTTCTCCATGACTCATGTTTTATACAGGACCTGAATACCTTGAAGATGATTGGTTTAGCTAGAAATAAGAATGGGTTGTATTGTCTTCCTCATGCTTTCTCACAATCAATTGGCTCTCAGTCATCTTCTATAAATGTGACCTTAACCAAATCCCTTTCTTTTCTAGAAACTGCCTTATGGCACTTTAGATTAGGGTATGTCTCGAATTCTAAAATAAATATGTTGTGTGCTTTGTACCCCTCTTTACAGACATATAATAAGAATTTGATTTGTGATACCTGTCATTTTGCAAAGCAAAAAAGATTACCTTACTGTGATAGCATAAGCAAGGCTAATAAGCCTTTTGATCTAATTCATATGGATGTATGGGGACCATATGGTGTTCATACTATCCACAAATATCAATTCTTTCTTACAATTGTGGATGATCAGGAATTTTACTAAAATAATTGAAACCCAATTTGAAAGAAAAATTAAGACCATTAGGTCATATAATGACACTGAGTTTTTGATGAAATCATTCTATCGTGAATTTGGAATCATACATCAAACAAACTGTGTTAAGACAACTTAATAGAATGCTAGAGTTCAGAGAACACATCAAATTCTTCTCAACATAGCTAGAGCTATTCTCTTTCAAGGAAATTTACCTAAACATTTTTGGGGCCTAGCTATTGCACATGTTGTGCACTTATTGAACAGGATACTATCCCCTATCACTAATTTTAAATCACCTTATGAAATTCTATTTAAGCAAAAACCAGATTTAAGCCTTTTAAAAGTTTTTGGGTGTTTATGTTATTCATCCACAATAAACTCACATAGAGATAAATTTGATCCAAGAGCAAAGAAGTGTGTCTTTGTAGGCTATTAGCCTGGTACAAAAGGATTCTTATTATATGAATTGAGTACAAAGACATTACATGTTTCTAGAAATGTTGTTTTTGAAGAATTCACTTTCCCTTATCAGAATAACATGCCACATACAGTTTCTAATCAGGATTCCAGTCTTAACCAACCTGACCATACAACAAACATACTTAGGCCACACACTGAACAAAGTTCCTTACTAACAACCCCACCACCTGCCATTTCACATCCTCACCTTACTACCTCAGCTTCTCCACAAAGACTAAAAAGATCACACAGATTAAAACAGAAACCTGCATACTTACAGGACTTTCAATGCAACTCAGTCTTATCATCTCAGCTGACCAATCAAGGTAGTCCCTATCCAATCTCATCCTTCTACTCCCTCTCTAATTTATCACCAAATTATGTTGCATTGTGTATAAATATCATTGACTTAAAGGAACCTAAGTCCTTTCTTGAAGCTAGTAAACAGGACTATTGGAGGAAAGCCATGGAGGCTGAAATCCAAGCTCTTGAGCTCAATGATACTTGGACTCTTGTTGATCCCCCACCAAGGGTGACTCCCTTTGGCAGCAAATGGGTATACAAGATCAAGAGAAAGTTTAATGGAACCATTGACAAATTTAAGACAAGATTAGTTGTCAAAGGTTACAACCAAATTGAGGGGCTTGACTACCTTGACACATTCTCACTAGTGGCAAAACTCACAACAATTAGAGTTATCTTAGCCCTTGCCTCTGCACACAGCTGACACTTACACCAATTAGATATCAATAATGCTTTTTTGCATGGTGAATTGAAGAAGAATGTATATGTGACTCCTCCACAAGGTATGACTACTCCTCATCTGAATAAAGTTTGTCAGCTGACCAAGTCACTTTATGGATTAAAGCAAGCCAGCAGATAGTGGTTTGAAAGACTCTCTTCCTTCCTCTTGACTTTGGGATTCCATCAAACTACTGCAGATCATACCTTGTTCTTACGATTTTTTGATTTTGGCTTCATTGGTATGCTAGTTTATGTTGATGACATTTTGCTCTTTGGTACCGCCCTAGATGAATTTGGTTCTGTCAAGCGACACTTGCATAAGGTATTTGGGATGAAAGACCTTGGAATTCTGAAATATTTTTTGGGCCTGGAAATTGCACACTCTTCAAAAGGAATTTTTGTTTCTCAAAGAAAATATTGCCTTGATCTATTGGAAGATACCTCTTTGACTAACTGCAAACCAGCCTCCACCCCCTTGAATCCAAGAATAAACTTGCAGCAGGATACAGGAGCATTATTCTCAGATGTCACTGCCTATAGAAGACTAGTTGGAAGACTATTCTATTTAACAACGACAAGGCTTAATATCACTTTTGCTACTCAACAGATCAGCCAATACTTTAATTGTCTCACACAAAAACACCACCAAGCTGCCATTAGAATTCTTTTATACCTAAAGAATGCACCAGGCCTAGGTCTATTTTTTCCTCGAAATAATACTCTACAACTTCGTGTTTTGTTGATGCTGATTGGGGAGGATACCCAAATACACGCAGGTCCATGTTAGGCTACTGTTTTTTTCTTGGATCTTCTTTGTTAAGCTGGAAATCAAAGAAACAACCTACAGTTTCTTGTTCCTCTATAAAAGTCGAGTACAGGGCCCTTACCACTGCAACTTGTGAATTACAATGGCTCTATTATCTATTTCAAGATCTTCAAATATCTTCGTCCAAGTCCTATGTTCTGTTCTATGATAATCAAAGGGCTATTCACATTGCACAGAACCTTATCTTCCATGAGATAACCACACATCTGGAAATAAACTCTCATATGTTTAGGGAGAAGCTGCAATCAGGACTCATGCACTTATTACCACTTCCTTCTTATGCTCAACTTGCTAACTTCTTCACTAAGGGGTTACTTCCCAAGTACTTCAATGCTTTTTTATCCAAGCTTGGAGTGCACAACATCTTTTGCCCTCCAGCTTGCGAGGGGGTATCAAAATACCACATTACTAAGGGCACCAACTTTACAAACTAATTCCTCCACATCGACGCGCGCACCACACACTCCTTCAAATTTTTTTTTGTTAGCATCTTTTGGTTATCTCTCATTCTGTGTACTCTATTTTTCTTTTCGGTTAGCCTTTCTTTTTGGGCTTTTTGTTATTTTTCGTTTTTACTTCCTTCCATTACACATACGTGTATATAAGTGAAGGTTTGTACCTCTGGTTCATTAATTAAAAAGAGAAAAATTGAGTAGCCATTGTCTCATATCTTCTATGTTCTTCAATGCTTCAGAAACTTTTAATAGATATAGATATATAGATTATATGAGATGTTCTGTTTTATAAAGTAACGATTAGTTTTCTTCGAGTTATACGAACTAGTGAACGCAACAAATTGATTTTACCACGTTGGTTTCTTGTTCCTAGTATACGATACAGAAATTAATTTGGTGTGTGAAGAACAGCAAGGTCGTGGAACATTGTTCGCATAGCCAAATTTCTTTCTATTGTTCTTTTGATAAACTTCAAAGCCACACCTTCACTCCAATGTTAATTGAAGCTGCTGGAGTATATGATAAATGCACTTATGTTACTTGAATTATCAAAAATATGTGATGATATTGTATATTATTTTTCAAAAAAAGAAAGAGGTCAACGACTCATGGTGCACGATCGAATAAAAAATAAAAAAGAAATCCTTACAATTTATTTCATTTTTTATGTACCTATCTCTCATGTAAATTTTACTCGCTTTAATTTCAACTCATAAAAAATTAATACTTTAGTGACCGGTAATCTGAAAAATTCATTTAAACAAAAAAAAAAGAATGATTAATTCATTAAATTAACACTAGTCTTTACTATTATTTACCCATCTAAAAAAATATTTAGTATATTTTTACATTTTTAACATTATAAATATTTTTTCAGTAAAAGATACTATTATTAATTATTTAAAAATATCTTCTAAAACTGATGTCAATATTGTCTATAAAAAATTCAACATTCAAATTATATTAATAAAAAAAAGTTTTATGTATTATTGAAAAATAGACATCTTTAAATATTTCTTATATTTAAAATATTTTTTTAATGTGCATACATAAAAGAGTAAAAATTAAAAATAATCACAAATGATATCAATTTATAATATTTCACTTGCCAGAACCAGAACTGAATCAATAAACCCTAACTAAACTAAGAGAAAAACAACACTTAATTAAATAAAATAATAATAACAATACAAACAAAAATCTGAAGTCAAGTCAAGTCAACCAATGAGCATCAAACAGGATTAAGACAGCAAAGAAAAATGGCAGAAGCGCACGATAGCGTCCAACTCCCTCGGGTGCGCCGGACTCTATCAACGGTGGGGAGTTCCCAAGCCTAACGGGTTTTGAGTACACCTTAAGACCAGAATCTGCAATTTCCACATTTGCCCCTCCCCATAAATGGTCCCGTTTCGTGTACCAAAGCAATATCTTGTACTTCACCGCCGTCTCAAAATCCACACGGTAGAACACTTTGCCGTCGACCGGCGCCGTGAAGTTGCCGGAGGCGAGGAGCGACCCTGGCTTGAGGGCCTTCTTCTGGTGGCCCTGGTAGAAGTGATCGACGGTGGCGTTGCCGAGGGAGCGCGTGGCGTTGAGTGCGACGAAGATTTTAAAGGAGACGTTAATGGCGTCGTATTTAATTCCTTTATCCTTGTTAGGGTTTACGAGCTTGAGAGTGAAGGAGAGAGTGTGGTTTTTTGGGGAATTGAGGGTTTTGTTGAGGGCAGGGACGTAAATGTAATCGATGTAGCATTTGGGTTCGTCCACTCGAAGGCTCAGCCATAGGAACAGAGCCGTTAGGCCTATGGTTATTATGAAGGTGGAGCAGCGCGTGCAGCAACTTTCGGACGCCGCCGCCATCTACGGTGGCCGGGATATCGAGACTCTAACAGAGAGATAAACGCGTTTGGTTTGGTTCGGTTCGGTTCGGTGAAGGTTGTTTTCTGTTGGAACAAATCAGTTTATTTTATTCATGGTTTTGGGGTTGTAGTTGGGAAGTTTCCATGTTTCTGTTGCGTTATTACATTCCTTTTAGATATAGTAAGTAATTTTAAATATTGGTTTAATATTTATTAAATATAAAATTAAATATATTTTTTTTTGTCTATTCAAGTAACATGAAATGTTCAATATACTATACAGTATATTTTCTTATTTTTCTTTTTTTTTTGGTAGAGTTTTATCAGACTGGTCAATAGAACTTCAAATTCTCAACCTCATCATGGGCTCTTACAATTTTTAAATTAAAGAGATAAAGTTCATATTGAGATTTAGTTCATTTGGATGAAAGTTTGAAAAAAAGAGAAAAACAATAAAGTAAAAAAATTGTATTATTTGTCTGAAAAAAAATTTAAAATAAACAAATTACTTATTTGAATTAGTGAAAATATCATGACAATATATAAATAAATTGTATTATATAATATAATAATATAAAAAATAATTTAATAAAAGAATTGTAATATTTTATACAATGTTTTATTCTCAATATTTTTTATATCATATAAAAAATATTTAATAATGAAAATAATTTAATTAGTACCTATTTAGGCTATTTATTTAGTGGTAGAAACGAAATTGGCAGATTTTTCTATGAATAGAATCGGAGATGAAATAAAGTTTTTACAAAATAAACGGAAAATGGTGATGTTTGTTCCCAATGGAAATCCTAAAGAATACTCCGTTTTGTCATCAGCGTGTTTTTTTGGCCTTAAGAAAAGTTAGATTGTGAAGTGCGTGTTTTCATGGAAACTCCGTTTCTATTGTTGATCCAATCACGCCCTTACACGAGTTTGCACCTTTTAATTATATAACGCGGTGATTGATATAGCACACCGTGCCACCGACACGTTCAATAATCTTTATCGCAACGGGTAGGAAAAACTATCAAAGAGATTTGTTTACGTGTACGATAAATTTAAATAGATATTTTCGGTGCTGTTATTTTATTAAATTAAAATTTAATTTTAAGATTTTTGTATTAAAAGTTAATGTTGAAAATTGAGGTAAAATAATGAAATAAATTTTTCATTTTAAGTAGACAACATTAGATGTACTTGTAATTTATTGGTGGGTTTTGTTGTAAAAAAATGTTAATAACGCATTTTTTAATATATTTTTATTATACTTTTATTTAAGATTCTTTAAAAGTGAATTGTTTATGAATTATATAACTTTGAAAATAATAAAATATTAATAAATAAGGTATTATCAACATTTTTTTAGTAATTGAGCATGTGGTAAAACAAGTTACTAATTCCTTGAGTTTTACGACGATATTAACCCATTTATAGATTATCCATTTGAGCCATAATTAGCACTAATCCTAATCCAATAAGTTGGAATGACAACATTTTGTTACCCAATTAACATAGACACAAATCTTTGGATATACATGAAGAAAAAGAAAAGGAAGTAGAGATCCCTTGTTTAACTTGGTTCATATAGAGACAAGTTAGAAGTCATGTTTTATTCGTGAAAAAAAAAAGGGAGAAAATATATAAATAATATATTATAACATGCTTATAAATAATAATAAATTATATGAATAATAAAAAGACTTTTGAGCAAACCAACATGCACACAGTAGGATTTTAATGCAGCTTCTTACATATACGAACAATACCTTACATTATTCTGTTAAAAAAAATTAGAATTCGTTTTGTTTTCTGTTTCTAAAAATAAATTTTTTGTTAAATAAGTTTTATTTTTATTTTCTTCTTAAAAACATTTGTTTTAAAATATAATTTTAAAAATTAAAAACCGAAACAGAAATAAACGTGTTTTCATTTTTTTTTTCTTATTCTTTTTTTAATTCTTAAGCTGTACGAGATAAAATTTTAAAAACTTCTCCTCTCTTTCCTTGTTACTTTTTTTTTTTATTTTTTGTCAATTATTTTCCGCAATCAATTTTTTTTTTAAGTGACGTGATTTTATGTTTATCAAGTTACCATGCGTTGAATCAATGGATTAAAGATTTGGGAAATTATATTTTGGTACTCAAAAGATAATATATATATATATATAGGACATGATAAAGCAGTAAAGGAGTTTATAATTAAGGATGAGAATGAAGCATGATTAGCCCAATGAAGCCCAAATTTGAATTACTATTTGGGCCTTTAATAATATTGGGCTCAGCATATTTCATCCATTTTTTACAACGGACTGGATCTTGAACACGACCAAAAAATATATAAACAAAAGGACTGGATCTTTGTTCTCGTATCTCCTGGGTCCCTTCTAAGTTTTTTTTTCCAGTGGATTGTCTTCGAATATTGGAGTAATTGTATTTGTATAGCTGAATAATAATAATAATAATAATAATAATAATAGTCCCTGCCAAGAAATATTAAAGAAGAGTAAATATTTATATTTGCAATAGGTTATTAGAAGATTCTAATTTTTTTCTTCCTCTTACAGCATTTCTAACTCTATATGGATGCATATCTGAGGTTTGTTTGGACTAGAGGTGGTTCTTTCGATTGATTGCAAGATAAACTTTTTCAACGTCTAGGTTTGCTAAAAGGAAGGAAACAATAGATAGTTGGTAACTGATTTGATTTTTTAGTGTTTGGTTGCTCCCAAATAGCTTATCTTGATAAGGTATTAGATCTAATCAATGTTTATTTTCTAGGGAAAGATCTAATCAATGTTGAGTTTGGAATTGGATCACATCAGAAGTGTAAGGTGTCTGTTTCTCACTCACAGAGTGGTTTCTTAATCCTTTTTCATATTTAAAATTGTTATATCGGAAGAAATTATAATTTACTGTTGACAATATTTTTTTTTTATAAATAAATTTCTTTGCCTCGTACAAAAGAGGATTTTGACAGTGTTGGTACTAAAGCATGATCCGATACAACTGGAAAAACATGAAGAAAATAATAACCTTGCATACATTATCTAATCCTAATCAACAACAACCATCCAATTTTTCAGTAAAATCCCAACCAGAGAATGTGACTTGATTTTGTATTGACTGATCAACAACAAAACGTCACCAAATAAGGTTCCATTACTTTGAATTTGTGTGATGAAGATAAGAGTTAGAGGGTTTAATTGGGTGGGGGTCAAGGAGAAGGATCGTACTGGGGTTGGTAGAAGTACAAACAAGATAAATATGGGTTTTGTTTTTTATTTAATTAATTTATTTTGAAAAATACAATTGCTTTGTGGTATTTGTAATTTTTCTAAAGAACAATTGTTCCATAAAAATTATTGCCAATGTCCATAATTGAAATGTTAACGCTTAAATTAGTCCTTAATTAATGAATGGAAGGATCCCACATATCTTAATAAAAAGAAAAGAAGAATAGGTATCTAGAGAGAAAAATAGGTTGGGGGAGAAAGAAAGGTAACTGGAGTTGAAGTTTGATTATGGGTATTAAATTTGTTAGGAATAGTTTAATGTGACGGTAAGGGTACTTAGATGAATGTCTCTGGGTGTGGGAAGTGACTAGATGGGGACTTTAGTGAGACAAGTGCTTTGTGGGGGCTAAGCTAATGGGGTGTTTAATTGCTTACAACTTTCCGACTTGTTTAAAGTCCAACGCTTTGTCATAATTGTGTGTCCCCTTCTAGCTAGATGCCACGTTGGCCCTAGTTAAAATGTCAAACTCTTTCAACTTGTATTTGTTATTGACACCATAGGAATAAATAAATAAAATTTAACTGTAATGTTATGGAATTATGAACTAGTTTAAGCATTTCCATTAGATTTTAGAATACATGTTGCGGTTAAGAAACTAATGAGTGGTACTCTCCACTTTATGCATAAAATGACACTTGCAAGGATGATTTCATGTTATAACATCTATATATCTATGTTGGTACACAACCTAAAATCACCTCCCATGCAAAAAAAGCATTGATCTTCATGGCACCCAAATAAGCTTAAATTAATGATATATTTAACCTAAAATCACCTTCCATGCAAAAAAGTTTAATGATGTTTAAACTTTGTAAGGTGTTTTGATCGTATAACTTGAGAGAAATGTCAACAATATACTCTTTTAAATGTATGTATTATTTAACATATTTTTTTGTAATTAATTTATTTTTATAAAAGAATCAATTTTAAAAAGTATATATTAGTTATAATAATTGTGTTAAATAATGTATTTAAATGAATGTGGTGCTAATATTTTTCTATAACTTCCAAATAGAACCTGCTTGCACCATCATTTTCTTTTCTCCTCTTGTTAAAAAAAAAAACAAATCATTTGAAGATGAACCTGCATTTTATTAATTAAATCTACTTCTATTTAAACAAATTCCTTATGCCTGACCAAGACCAATAACATTACTCGTCCCTCTAAACCTCCAAATCACAGGTTTTTTTGCTTCCCAGCGTGATATACTAAACTTCCTAATTAAGGAATCTATGAATAAAACAGGCAAAACTTTGATCAAAATTTCTAGCCAAAATTAGGCATTTTTGCCTATCTTCCATTCTTTTTGAAAATGAATTTTCCATTTCACTTTTACCGACTATACCTTTTTATTTTTATTTCTTAAATTTATAAAAAAATTTGTTAACCTTAATCATTCTTAACATTAGAGACATAATAGTATAATAAATAGTTTCTTTTTAATAAAAACTAACTATTCTTAAATGTTTAAACTTAAACTTTAAGATCATTGAAGTTTAAAAAGTCAAATTAGAAAAAAAATACTTATTTTTAATCCATAATAAAAGCATTAAAATCATATTATTTCAATTAAATATAAAGTCTAAAATGAGTAAAAAATTTATAAATACTAATAAAACAAAAGATCCTCCTATTTTCATAGACAGAGAAAAAAAAAAGCATGTTTAAGGCTTATACAGATACATTCTGCACTTATCATCTCACAACGTGGACTGTGATGATCGAACCCGGAGAAGAAACGAGAACTTGTGTCGAATTATGATTGGGGATGACCACTTTCTCCCTTCTATGTGGTCCTGATTCCGGCATCTATGATCAGATGTGACAGACTCATCGCGTTTTGCTCAAAGTTTTCTTGGGGTGTCATTGTTCTTTGTTTGTGCAAGAGAAACCTTGAGAGCCCCACTTTATCACCTGTTTCCTTAACATCTTTTTCTGTCTGTTCTTTGTACTCTCCAAAAGTAAACTTCCTGTACAACGATGGCATCATTTGGCTCTCTATCACTGCATCTTTCGAGGGGTTGAAGAAATATGCCACAGAAAATCTCTCAACCTTCTCAGCTGCCACCACTCTGTGTCTCGCACTTTTGTAAATGTCATTGCTTAGTGCCTACATTTGTGCTCAGGATCTAAACAATTAGTCATCCAATTCCTATGACTAATTTCAAATAGGACAAAACTTATTGTTTTGTCAGCACGGTTACTATTGTTTATTAATCAAAATTAAAGTTTTATTTTAATTATATATATATATATATATATATATATATAAATACGGAAAATAATTTTCTTCCAACAGTATAAGTTAAAAAATTTTATATCCAATCTGAACTTTTAATTTAATTTAAATCTAATGTCCAATAAAGTAATAAATTATAACCCGTTAGATTTAAGTTAAATGAAAGATTCAAATAATGTGTAAGAATTTTTAGATTTATAACAATATAAGAAAATCTTATCTCTAAATATATATATATATATATATATATATATATAATATCATTAAAAATTATTTAGACAATTTTAATTTTGATTAGTGAATAATACTAAGTTTTTCTTTTTGAAATAATATATTGAAAAGGATATTTTGCGGCATTTATGAGAAGTTAAAAAAATAATATATAACTAATTTTTTTAAATATTTTTATACATCTTATTAATATTCAAATTTATTTCAATAAATTTCAAGATCAGATTATTGTCATAAGACCTTACATAATAAGATTTTATTGAATATGTATTTAATTAATTTTATTTATTTAAATGTTCCTAGACTATCTCTAAATTTATAAATATAAGTTAATTTAGTCTATAAAATTAGAAAAATATATTTTTAATCTAAAAAATTACTGAATAACAATACTTTTAATTTATACTATCATTTTAGTTTCTAAAATTAAAAAAAAAAACTGATGTTTAATAATTTTAAGAAATAAAGTATCATTTTTATAATTTTAAAATTGAAGTTTATTTATTTAAAATTTATAATTTCATAGATAAATTTAATGTATTATTGGACTAACTTGGTGTGTCAGTTTGTTGAAGCAGTTATCCCCAGATTACTTTTTTGGACTCTAGTTAGTGGGTTCATGTCGTAAACATCCTGTCAAGAACTCATCTTTATTTTCTTAACCCTCTCCCTCTTCCCCTGCCCCGGCCCTCTTCTTTTATCCATTTTCCATGCTCATATCATTGCTGTTGGTTTGGCCCATTTTGTCGATTATGGTCTGCTAAAAGATTGCCATAGATGAGTGGTAATTCAAAGTGAGGGAAAGCCAATGTTTGAAATTATTAAGAGCAAAGTTGTTTGCATACTATAATTCATTATATCACTCTTTATGTAGATATTGCTTTTTGTACAGAACCAAGACCTATGAGTTATCTTGACAAATATATTATTTCCTATGCAAGTTGAGATGAAGGTATGTATCACATCAAGATTTTTACTTGCTGCAAGCCCTAGGAGGTCATTATTATTAGGTTAATGATTTTTGTACTTTCTTTTCCTTCCACCAATTTCTTGCTTATAGAATGATCCATGCATTTATAGGATCATATTGTGTATTATAGAGTGATGTAAATTTTGCATCACTAAACTACATAATTATGTATAAAAACTATTTGTTTCTCATCATTTACTTTTCCATTTTTCTTTACACTTATTGAAAGATGAGTGTCATTTATATATTTTCCCTTGATTTGACATTTACAAAGAGTGAAAAGAAATATGTAAAAAAATAATACTAAAATATTAATACTTATGTGCACATATTGAAATACCTATAATGAATTTTTACAGGAAAATGAGTAGCATATATTCAATAAGTATACCTAATGAGAGAGAGAAGAGAGAAGTAAAAAATGAGATAAGTAATATAATATGATATAAAGAGAGAGATTAAAAAAAAGATAAAAATATTGTATAAATATAATTCATCATTATATTTGCATACCAATAATTTTCATATCATTTTTCTTTCTAAATTCATCCATTCCTTCGTATCTACTCTACCAAAACAAATATTTCATATATGGTAGATTCCCTTAATGTGTTGGCCCAAATTCAACCCTGAACTAGTTGATTAAACTGAAAAGTCATGTGAAAGGTGATAGAAGAAAAGTAAATGGAGGAATAGTTTTCGTATTATTATATACATAGATGCCTTGGGAAATGATAGTCCTTTTGAAAATATACTTCATCCGTGCCAATTACATACTATGTCCATCACACAAGCTATTTGAAAGGCGTAACAAAATATAAGCAACATATTATTCTAAGAATATGATAGGAGTGCTGAGCTCATTACCTGGAATAAATCACCAATATTAATAACCAGAGCTGCAGGGTTAGGTTTGATACCAAACCAAATTCCATCTTTCATCAATTGCAACCCTCCAATGTGGTCTTGATGCACTATAGTGAGGAAACTTGAGTCACTGTGAGGTAAGAGGCCAAACACCTTTGAAGGGAATGGACATGGTGGATATCTGTTCAAGCGAAGAAAGCTAGTTTTTGCTGAACAGTTCTCTTGAAAATAGCTGAATTTGATGTTAAGTTTCTGAGCTAGAATGTGCACCAAGGTCTCTGCCAAGGGGGCAACTACTGATGCAAAAGCTTCAATACTTGATCTAAATATAAAATAACAACTGATTAGAAAAATTAGATATTAGAGTAAAAACACTTAAACGAAACCGTAAAAGCAATTCATATGCAAAATTATTTCTTACAAAAAGAAGGAGACAGTATACATACAGAAACTAACTTTTGATCATCTTTGTTACCTCATGTAAGTACATGCAATTACTTTATGCAAAAGCAAGTCACCATCATTTTCTTTATAAAAAACAGGGAAAATTTGTAAAAATTATAATTTTATCTTAAAATAAATAAGTAAAATGAACTAACTTTCTTTATATGTTAAAATCAACTTATATATATTATTTTTTAAAAGTAATTATCTTAATATTTTCAAAAATGAAAAGTAAGATGCATGACTCAGTTTTAATTTTAAAAAATAATTCATTTAATCACTTGATTATTTCTTCTCCTGTAAGTAAATTTTGAAAAAAAAAACTAAATTAGACTTAATTCCTTGATATTTACTATTTGGATTGTGCATATTGTTAGATATCAGAAGAAATGAAATTAACAAGGATGTAAGAAAATTAACTTTACATGCATGTGTAGCATATGGGTAACAAATTCAATAACCTATATGTGATTATAGCAGACAATCTCGATTAAGTGTTAACAATTAAGTGTTAAAAAATTTAAATCAGATCCTATATTTTATATTTACCTTCATATCATGCTTTGTAGCATGTTATACCCTAAAACTCTCATGCAGTTTATTTCCCGCCCAGAATTTGAGAAGAGGTAAAGATAACAATGCAGTAAGTATGTATCTTTACCTTAGACTTTGGTGCTGCTCGATCTTAGCTATATCTGGAAGAAACATGTGGAAAGCTTCCGACCATGAAATTTGGCTCAAATTAGTAGCAAATGGGTTACCCCACCTGTAACTTCTGGCAGGTAAGTTCAAGAAATTCTTTTGAGACTTACTTGCAAAAGGGATGCGGAACACTTTCATTTGCTCGTACTGCAAACTGCGCAATAGCTCTTGTGGAACCCCATGATTCACAACCTGGAAAAAACCCCATGTTCTAGCGGCTCCAATGATTTCTTTCATGCATTCTTCCCTCTCAAAGTGATCATCACTTAACCGACATAGATCAATTAGAGGTAGCTCACACCTCTCCACCATAGAGGATTTGTCATTTCTTGTGTCACTAATTATACCAACATCGGCACCCAACGAGCTTTGTAGAAGGCTCTTGTAGCTCTCTAAAAATGGAGGTTCGTATTCCATTTGAGAGAATGAGTGAGTTTTCCAAATACTAGGCATTGTTATTATATATTCTGACATTTTTACGATTTTTTTATTTTTCGTTTATTTGTTTATTTTTTATTTTGATTTGTAATTTTTTTAAATTTAATATTTTTCATCTTCGGTGATTATTAAATGATAATATTACGTATCGAATTTTTATATGATTAAGTTAGTGAAAGGAACCATATAAAAAAACTAAAAATATATATAAATTAAAAAAAGTTTAAAGTATAACTAAATGTGTATGTGTGGCCAAGTTCCTAGCGTGACCACTTGCAACGTCATGACATTTAGTTTATTAGATTGTTAAAATCAACTTCATTTGCTTCGAGGAAAAAGTAAGAAGATTGATAATGGCAATAAATCTCTATAAGAGCCTGCAAAAGGTTGTGTTTTATGGAGAGAATAAAAAAGGTAAGCATATAAATATGATGTAAAATTTTGTTAGATAATATACAGTCAAGAAAGAAATAGGGTTAAAATAAATGAAGACTAAGAATAAGGCACAAGTACTATTATCATTATGTTTATTAAATTTGAAGTTTTTTAAAATTGTGAAATAGTCTTGAATTTAATTTTTATAAGTGAGAACACTTAAAGTAAAAAATAAAATAAAATAATCATTTATTTATCATTAATTTAAATTTAAATATTTTGAACATAATTAATTTTCGTCTCTTTACTTTAATGAAGACAAATTCATAAATATAAATATTAAAAAGATTGTTTAACAATTTTTTAATTAAAGAAGGTTGTATTAGAAATAATTAAAAGAATAAAAGTTGTGTGTGAGTATTATTAGATTAGAAGGTTATCTCAGTATTATAAGCCCCTTCTTTGTTTCGTAAAAGGTCATGCAGTTAACTTTTAATTTCTTAAAATAAGACACTTAGCAGTGAATATTATATGGTGGAGCAACTATGTCTGATAAGCTAAAAGTTATCTTAACTCTAATATATAATAGAGGATCATATATATGCATGCATCAAGTATGCTAAAGTAATAAATACTTTTTCTTTAATATTTTTTCTCCAACATATTCAGCTATCATAAAAGGATAGTTGTTTTTACCACTTAATGCTGTCATAACATACTTTTGGACATATCACGACATGTGACTTGATATATTTAGATTAAAGTCACGTCATCAATATATGATAAAGAGACCTTTTTTTTCCAAAAATAAAATCAAATTTATGAGGTCTGAAACAAATGAATTTTAAAGACTAAAAATAAAATTTAATCGTGATTATATGTATTAAAAATATTTTTTAAATAAGTATACAATAATAATTTTAATATATCATAATTTGAAATAAAATGTGTATAATAATGGAGGATTCACTGATATTTTTTATTTTTTAATACCATTTTATTCTCATTGTCACACACAAAAAAATATTGTACATGTTTATTATAAACGTGTTCCGATTAATATAAGCTTTATCTAATGAAATTATTATTATAAAATTTATAAATTTATATTAATAATATAATACACCATATTTGTTAATATATATATATATATATATAATCTAATTTTTCTTCTTTTTATAGTACTGACCTAAATATTACGACTAAGTCTTTAAAGTTGTAAGTATTTATAACTGTAGTCTTTAATTTTAATTATAATACTTTAGCTTTTCATTTTATAAAATATCATTCATTTTTTAATATACAAATTTTAAAAATACTCTCAATAAAATTAAAAACCAAAAATAAAACAAAAAGAATTCTAAATCTAATTCTAATATAGAATAAAAGGTGAGCTCCAGCAAGGTAAAGAAAAGTCAATGAATTGAAGCAATCAATTATAATGTATCACGAAGAGAGAGACAGAGAATATGGGGGAAATAATTGTGTTTAAGTGTTAACATCTGTACTTGGACTGATTTAATATTTATTATTAAAAATATATCTAATTTAAAAATAAGTCTTATTAATTTTTCTATTTGATAATGATTTATATTCTTAAAATTTTATAAAATATATTTTTTAATAATTTATATTATATAATATTTATAAAAAAAACCAGGATTTTCTTACACTGTTGTAAGTTTAAAAATTCTTATACTCAATCTAAGATATAATTTATTACTTCATTGATCGATAAATTTAAATTAAATAATATACTTAAATTGGATGTAAGAATTTTTAAACTTATACTAGTGTAAGAATATTCTTACCTTTTAAAAAAATATAAATAATCATTACATGTAAAATTACATGTATGTATTTTTACTTTTCTAAAACAAACGTATGTCATGAAAATAATGTTATATAAAATTTATGTTTTTGTCTTTATAAAAAAATAAATTTAATGATTATAAATAATTAAAATTAACATGATTTATTTTTAAAATAAGTGTATTTTTTAATATTTATTATTTTAAAATATTAATTTTAGAATTAAACATTTAAAATTAGTAAATTTTATTAAAATATAATTCATACAATAAATATTTAAAATAAATCCAAATTATTTATTTACTTATAATAAGTTTTAAAAATTGATGTTAACACTTGTATATATGTAAAATAGATGACGACATATGTTCAAAATATGCAGTGATGACGCTTAGCTAACAAGGAACAACAACAGAGTCATCTCGACAGTGCGTTTACAATTATAAGATTGAAAGGAAACCAAACTGCATTATTGGGACCCAATCAAAAGGACGAGATTGCATCTTCCAAAAACCCATTGCTTCTTCATTTGACCTCTATTTCATTACTCTTTCTAGAACATTTTTTCTCATACCAAGTCTAAGCTTTTCAAATTTGCCTCAAATTTTTTAATTTCACTCTGAAACCTATGGAAATTGTTTTAAAATTACAAGTTAAATCTTTATTTTCAACTCTATGCTGTTGTTGAAAAAAATAAATTATAAATTTACAAATAAACTATAAATTCAAGTTACTAAATATAGTTTAAAAAATTGTAAAACATATATGCATGCTGACAAGTAATGGAGGATGACAAGGTGACACCTATGCAGGCTGTGCTGGCGTGAGGATATATATGAAAAAGAAATGCTATTTGATGGTATTATTCATATTGATTTAATCTTTTTTTTTTCTTATATACATTATAAAGTAACACTACTTTTGTTGTGAGTGATTATTTTTTAATAAAATTTTATGTAATTTGATTATATTATTATTGGTGTAATTTATATTAATGTAATTTAATTTTTATAAATAAAATAATGTTTTTTTATTATGCGAGTAAGAAAAATAAAATGATATTATATATACTATTTTGTTGTATAAAAATAGATAAAATGAATAATAAAATAATGCAAACATAATATTATAGAAAAATTATAAATTATACTATATGAATAATGTAACATTACGTGAACACGTTCCATCATTTCAAGAAACATAAATAACTTTCAAATATAAATTCCCATAAATAAGATATGTTGTATTTTGTGATTATTTGTTTTAGCGTTTAATTATACTAGCTCTGTATTAGATGCAAATTAAATCAGTGATGATGCAATGGACATGTTTTGCAAAACATGTTGATTATGATTTTTCTTCACTTTCATCCATTAAAATCTATTTTTGTTCTAAAAGAATTGGCCCTTAATTATTAGAAAACAAAAGGAAATATTGGAGGATCAACCAAAAACAAAACTGAAGGGACTTTTATTTTAAAAATTTACCCCTAGCAAGTCAAACAAGGAAAAGAATGGTGTATAACAGAATAATTTGAAATGACAATGAAGATGTCAAATAATACTAAACTTAAATAGAATATAAATAAACTCTGAACATGCATTATGCTATGGCTGCTGCTTATCATTCACATTATATTAAAAGATATGTTTGGTTAATATTTATGTATTTCGCCATTAAAAAAGGAGAGGGAGACTGAGCTTATCTCCGTGGCCTTCTTGAAAATAAAAATAGATTGAGTTTCATCTATTTAAAAATTTTAAAACTTAAATTAATTTTATTTTTTAAATAAGTTAAATTGGGTTAAACTTTAAAAATGTTAAGTAACCTAATTTATTCTTATCTTTAATTTCTTCTTATCCTCTTGTTTTTCATTAAAAAATGTTAGTTTTAATTTTTCTAAGAAAATTTGCATATTTTAGACAAAATATTTTTAAAAAATTTTAAATTGTTGTCCCCACTTTTGATTAATTTAACTGTACATTAGTACATGGTAGACTACCATTCATTTCTCAGTTAGAATTAAAGTTTTCATTGTCTAGTTCACCGCTTATAAATTTTTTTCTTGTATAAATTACACTTATTCTTATACTATTAATAATTTTATATAAAAATAAAATTTTATTAATTTAAATTTTAAATTATAATTATATATTATTTAAGTTTTTTGGGAATATTTTATTTGAATAGAAAAATGAAATTAAAAATTTTTATTTACATTTATTTCAAATATATATTATTACATTAAATTTGATGTATATAAATAAAATATTAAGTAATTTTTAATTAATCTTAATTTTTATAAATATGATTTATGAAATTAGAACTTTTAATCAAATGATTAGTGTTAAAAATAAATTATTCAATAAAAAATTAATAAATTGGATATATAGAGAAAAATAAAAATGATAAAATGAATTATTTAATATTAATAAAATTTTAATATTTTCAAGTTTTTATAGATTAAATTTGCATTTAACTTGATGGAATCATGTTAAAAACTTAAATTTTATTTGAATTTAAAATTTAAATTATACGTTTGAATTCAGACTAACTTGTGTCTCATTTTTGTTAATTTTAATAGTTTATGACTAAAAAATTATAAATATTATTTTGTATATGTAATTAAAAATAAAATTTATTATCTATAATAATTCTACTAAACTCAAATATAATTATTTCATGTAAAATATATCTGTAATTTAAAAATGCATATAATATATTTAAACGTAATTTAATAGAATTAAATATAAAACGATATTGGTTGTCCAGATCTTTTATTGGATTAAAGA